TATATACCCCGTCATCGTTAAGCCATGAAAGAGAATGCATTCATGATATCTGTTTCAAAGCACTTTACCAGAAATTTCACTAATCAAACAATTTAAAGTATTATACAATTTTCTTAGAAATTGTTTGACTGTATATTTTTGAAAGTGTTTTTGTACATTAGAAATACATGGAGACTCTGTAACATGTAGGTGCGTGTGGATGCAAACATTTTTGTATCAGCAAAAAGTTAGGTAAMAATTTCTGTCATTGTGTTGACCAGAACTCAATCTCTAGATCCCAGGAAAATATTTTTTAATTAGGTGTATGAATGCATTCTTATTTAAAATGAATCRTTTGTATTTCTAGGGGTGTGATGGTTGGAACAGTTGCTGGGTTGGGTATAACCTTTGGCACAATCTTCTTGATGGCTACAAATAATCTATCAAAGAAGAGTAACAATTAATTAGTTCTATAAGATACATGGATTTGACGATTGTAATTGTTGCTATGTAAACAAAGTTAAGGACAAATTTAGATGAAAAAGTGTGCTAAACCAGGATTTTCACTGTAATAAAATGTTTTTATGACCACATTTTTTTGACAACTCTTTTATCAAAAAGACAAATTTGTTAAGAGTTATCATCACCAGCTGACATAATGCATAATTGTGAAATTATTTTATGAATTGACCTTTTATGGCTTGCTAAAAACTACAGTAAAATTTCATAATTACGAGCTTGGTCAGGGAATGGGCTTCTGGGAWACCGGCTATTGTCACTCACTACCGGAAGTGAATTCCGTACAAAATTACTTCCGGTGTTACTAGGAATAATAATCACCTGTGTCAGCGACTTTAAAGGAAATCTAAATCTAACAGAGTAATTCGACTATGAGCGAGCAACAGAATCAAAAGCTGACAAGGATATTTATTTGTGGAGCCCACAGCGTTGGTAAATCAACTTTGGCTGAGGCGATCGCTAAAGAAACAGGATTTCTTATTGTCTCTGAAATCGCACGAACAATCATAAAAGATTTAGGGTGGAARCGAGACGACTATGATCCGCGATCAAATCCCGAAGGTTTTAAAAATCTTCAGAAGTTGATAATAGAATCACAAGCGAAGGTGGAACGTATTCACGACGAGCAAGGTGATAATTACATTTGTGATCGTGCGATCGATCCTGTTGTTTATGCACGAATATACTTAGAGGAAAAAGATGCCGACGAACTTTTGAAACWAGAATCGACAAAACAAAATATCAAAAGGTAAACACAAAAAAAAAAAACAGTCTTTCGTTTATAAACGTTTKTTTCTTTTTATTTGGCATATTTCGTATAAAAAGTAAAGTAGTTTATTCTGATATTTACAGACGTTCGCTTGAGTGATCTGCTTATGGTAATTTTTACATTGTTTATAAAGGTACCGATCTTCGTTGGTGTTTGTTATTAAACCTTTCCCAGAATGCATGAGGGATGACAACGTTCGTTTAACTCCAACAATGGATGAATTGAATTTATTCACCTCCACCATGGAAACCCTTTTACAAGATGTTCAAATACCGTATATTGCTATAAATACCTTGGATATGGACGAAAGAGTTCGAATTGTGAAAGAAGAACTCAGGAAACAAGCACTATTATAGCAAATGAAACCATCAAAATTCAAAACGTAAAAACCAGTATTATCAAAACGTGACATTCAGACATCTGGAAGGAAATAGAGGATATTACATGGGCGCGCGGAGATAC